TCTCATAGACTTCTATACAACCAGAGGAGTCGCCCCCTGGTGGACACGAGAGAGAATGCAGGTTGAATCCAAGCTGATGCCTTCAAATGTCTTGTTGTATCTGAACAATTCAAAAGCCAAAGATATTCAGAAAACCACTACATCTGCTGAGAAGTGTGTATTTCTGTTGCCTGAGAGCCAGGCTAGCTGTTTCCAGTCTTTATGCTAAGCTAATCTAGCCGGCTGCTGGCTGTAGCTTCATATTTATTGTACTGATTTGAGAGAGAGCTATCTAACTTCTCCTTTAACTCTTTCCCAAAAAAGCTTAATTCCCTAAATTCCCTTGCGGATAGAACAACTGTTTCTTTTTACGAAACGTGAGGACTGCACCTTTAACCGATCCATTTGTTTTCTTTTGGGCAGAAAGAGAAGTAAAAACAGAAAACTCCTCATGAGGTTAAAGACAGAAACTTCCAAATTTGAGAAATCATCCCACTTTGCAAGACATCTGTTCATTGATCTCCTGAGAGATTTTTTTTATAAAAGTAGGAGTCATTGTTTGGACATCTTTCTGCCGGCTGATGGGACAAGAAAGAGCATTTGGGAGCCGCAATTTTATAAAAGAACATCGAGAGCATTTTTCTAGAAAGAGGAACAAAAGGGAAGATGCTGAAGAGACACATGCACCAATAAATGCTTTATACACTTGACTATGAGTCTACAGCTGCATGCATCACTCTCTCTTATTTAAAAACAACTGCTCACCAGTACGAGTTCGTCCCCATTGAGTTCTCGGGTCCAGAAGGTCTTCGGGCCGTTCCCGCTCAGTAGAGTCTGTTTGCAGTAAATCTTGTTTTCTGCTTCCCAAGTGGCCAAGCTCTGTAGAAAAAGCAGCCCTTTAATGAAGTTCCCTATATTTATCGCCTCAGCTTAACCTGGCTTACAGGACGTCAGCAGTAAAGCACAGTGATGGATGAGAGATCGACGGGGACAGTTGTTTATACGTTTGACACCGTCGGTCGTTACAGTAATGAACCTGTCCATTGAGACCATAGACTGTATATAACAAGTGGACGTAGTCATCGTGACGTCACTCGTTTGGCGATTTGGCCGTCGCCATCTTGGCTTTTTGCAACCAGTGAACGGAAGTTACCATATTTGTAATGCAAAGGAGTGACGCAGAGATGCCGTATACAGCTCTGGTAGCAGCAGCAACCTGTCAATCACTGTGTATTATGTTTGCAATGGCCCTAGCTAACTCATAGCTAACATTAGCTCGCTAACAGCGAACTTGTCCCATCCCATCAAATGCACGTTTGGGGGATAAAATAATACTTGACACGCTGAACTCTGATATTATTCGCTAGCTACAGGCATTTTGTCAGCGCTATGCGCTCTTTCTGAATAGTGATGCATGACAGCGCAAAGTCACATCATCCTTCTACATTTTTACTTATTCATAGACATCAGAAAGAAAGAAAGTTGAATTGTCAGAAAGTAAGAACTCTTCATGTGCTGTTGTCACAGTTTAATTAGATTACCTTACACTTTCTGCCATCCACCGTCTCCTCGCTAAACTCCTCTCCAATGAGGAAGTTGATCTCCGTGGTGCGGACCGTGGTAGAAGTCTTGATGTAGAAGTGCTCGCCGTTCTGCCTTATCTCCACGTGGGGCTTGGACGCAGCCGCCATCGCTACCTTCCTCAGCATGGCGTTCACACCTGAAAACACGTACAACGCCACCTGTGAGGCTACAGTGTGGATATCAACGGTGCAGTGTGGATGATTTGGCGCCATCTAGTGGCGAGGTTGCATATTGCAACCAACTGAAACTACGGTAGCCGGCGCAAAAGCGTGAAAATGTGAATGTCCATATCGAGAGCCAGTTTGTCCTTTCTGGGCTACTGTAGAAACATGGAGGCCGGCTCCGTATGTCGATGTAAACGTCTCATTCTAAGGTCATGAAAACACAACAACTCTTATTTTCAGGTGATGAAACACTGAAGAAAACATACTTATTAACATTTAATACACAATAAAATGTCTGCCAATAGATTCCCCTAAATGCTACACACTGTTCCTTTAAGTAGGCTGATTAGTCTGTAAAGTATGATGACCTAATGTACATAAATCACGTTGTTCCCACCTATTGTCACTAATTATAAGACTTAATTTCTCCATATTTTATTGTCTTGACATCGAGTTGTCACCTCACATTGTTTCTGTCTGCTTCTGGTGCCAAAAAGGGCGCAAGAAAAAAATCAGAGATGAAACGTTGCTAATTAACCAGATGAATGGTTGTTGTATAAACCATTTGGTTTTGAATACAAAAGGAAAAGGATCCTCCACCAGCTGCAAAGATTATCAGCAGATGTTGCAAACATGGAAGGTGCAGTGACAAGGGGACGAGGGGGAGGAATGCTGCTTTGTTTAGCTCTCCTGTAGATCGTGATCAGTCCAAATGAGTGGAAGGGTTAATAGCTTTTCCATTCTGTCACAGTTCCAGTGCAAACAATCAGAAGAGAGGACGCCTCCGTCCTCGTAGTTCATCACTTAAAAAGAACGCAGCAACAATAAACTAATGTGTTGTCTCGTCCCGTAATCAAAACCAGTTGTATTTTACTTTGGAACAAGCCGTGTTAAAATGTGTCTCCTGCAACCATATTTCCATGTGAAAGATTATTAAAATTGCAGCCACCTCCTGTGATTATGGAGCTGAAATGAGAGACATTGGTTTACATTTGAAGATCAATCAAACTATTTACTTAAAACCAGTCAACCCTGCATTTCATTTAAAATACACCTTGATTGCAGACTGTCTGTGTTCCAGGTTTGTTTGTCTACAGTGCAGATACAATAATTTAAATACACTCTCACTCTTCAAACCTTAGTAGAAAAAGAGAGTAAATATTCCTCACCCAGCGTTTTGAGCAAGTCTTCAAAATTCTCGCTGCTTTTCATTTTCCAGGTGCCGGCGAAATTGGGCATTTTTCTGGTGAGGTTTTGAATGTGTGTCAGCCTTCCGTCTCCTGTCGCTCGTTTCCTCCGCTCCCTTTTCTTCAGCCTCGATCTCGTCCTCCCTCCCTCCCTCCCTCCTTCCCTCCCTCTAGCTCTCCTCCCTGTGTGCAATGATCCCACACAGCCGACCAAACCCCCTCTACCTCAGCCTCCTCTCCCACTCATTAATCACACACACACACACACACACACACATTGTCAGTGGTTTATTCTCAGAGCATTTTAATGGCCGTGCTAAATTATGATTCAGTTGGATGGTCTTAATGTCTCGTCTCATCATCCGATGTGATTGAGGTTTAGTGGAACTTAATGGTTCATTTATACAAATATTTATTTAAGTATAATACTAATTCTTATTTTTAGTATCAGATTTTATTTTCACAGATGTCTCATTTGCACCCACAGCTGCATTGACGATCTTCTACTTTTCCTTTTATAGTGAGTTTAATTTTCTCACTTCCACTGGATTCCTCCGACTGCATCCAGCCATGAAGACACTTTAGGTTTTATTTGTTTTATCTCTTTTCCACAAACAGTGTCACACCTGGTTTAGTTCTTATTTCTTTGGCAGAAACTAGTTTCACAGTGTTAATGAGGACACTGTGCGGCTGAATCTTTAAGTCATCTTTGAACACTTTGAACAAAAGAAACAAAATTCCATTCACCCCGAGGAGGTTTAGGGGTAAACAAAACCCCAAATGATGTGCATGGTGAGATACCACTCGAGACTTAGTTTGTTTTTATTTTATTTATTGATATATTTGGGTGGATCGGCCCTTAAACAACGGCATTAAACAATCTTGAAAGAAGTTGTCTTTTTAAGTATATCATATAAAAAATACTCGCATGTTCTTATGTGTATTGAAACAGTTTTTGGGTCACTTTACTTTAGTCCATATCGACCGTGCAGAGATATAACCCTGAAGTGATTTCAATGTAAGAAATGGTGATTGTTGTTCATTGATATGGTGACAACACAAAGTTGTCGCAACTCTCTGGGCTCAAATGGCTAATTCTGCTACATTGATTTGAGGTAATACTCGTATTTCTATGGTGTACATAGACATAAGAGTATTAGCATGTGAGTATTGTTTTACTGACTTGAAAAATAAGTCCTTTCAAAGATGAAATATTTGTGTGAATGCACAATGAATCAACTCTCATGAATTCATTCAAATTGAGCTGCTTTCTAAAATACTTCTTTGTCCTTTGTTGCTTTTCAAATCTTACAAAAAAATTACACAACACCGTCTTTTCAACACAACTCTCATGTCTATCTTCTATCCTTTACACACACACACACGCGCGCACACGCACACGCACACACGAGAGTGAGAGGCCCTTCCTCTAAACCCGGCCAGGTCACATGTGTTTCCTCTCTGACGGCCCCTCATCAGTCTTTTTGACAGAGTGCCTTCCAGACGTCGCGTGATAATGAATGTACAGAGCCGAGCAGGGAGCGATCCGTCATCCCACCGTGACGTGTCTCAGGCTTCACCGGGCCTCCTTGTTTGTTTCACTCATCAGTCCGTTTATCTGCTGGATTTTATTTAAGAAAAATAAAAAGTTACGTTTATGAGTTTGAGGATGTGTGACGAGCTTTGAGAGCGCTCTGCTGCCATCTATCGGCCTGTTGATGGAAAGTAACACTGAACATTTGTGCCAATACTTCTGGTATTTTATGGCTTTGAAAGGTTTAATCTTTAAATCACTCAAACAGTTATTTTGTCTAGTAAGGTAAATCTTTAATGTTTTGTGAGTTTTACTTTTTTTTTTTTAAATTGAGAATGCGAGTACATTGCAATAAAATAAAACCTCCAAAAAGTATCTCTTTTGTTAGATTTGTTCACAGAACACTGGATATATTTCCTCCATTTCGTGATAAAAATATACTTTTCTAACATCATGACGAGTCCTGATGAGATGTGATCTTTGGTATCACCTTCAATGAGACGTGCTGTCGCCTCAGTTGCGAGAACATCAAAAACACGTTCATTGATCCCTTTTTATTTTAGTAACATGCCTATTAGGTAAAGCATTGACCCTCCAGAGTTCTCTCTCTGAGGACCAGAGATGTGCAGTAGATGTGAACGGCTCACTCTGTTCCTTTAAGGTGGACACGCTAGTCTCATTTTAGTCACAAGCTTTTAAGTTAATTTGCTTATATATTTATTTACCCAAGTTATGTTTCATTTGAAATAATAATGTCTATTCAAACATTTGCTCAAATATAATGAATGTCAGCGAGGATGTTTTTTTGTTGGCTGCTGTCATCAACGACATCGTCTTCAGGATCCAGACGACTGAGACGTGTCGGTGAGTTTCTGTCCAGTTTCAATGAAGTGTGTTTTCTGTTTACGATGAGTTGAATTTAGGAAATGAAGCCGGCAGTTGTTCGCTGTAAAACTTGAATTAGGTGTTCGGTTTTAGTAAAACATGCGTTTAAAAGCCCTGAAGAAGTTTAAATTAATCTGATTCCAGATTCATCAGGTGTCCCCTAAACATGAATAACACATTTCTACATGGCCCTGAGCAGATTGATGACTTCAGAAAATATTATAAGACATTATGGCTTCATTTAAACTAACTCAGATTTACCTTATGAGATGTTTTAGGAAAAGTGATCATTTTATTTAGCACCTTTCTAAAAATTTGTTCTCTTTTTTGACTTCAATTATTAATCTACATCAGAGTGTTATCAATAAGACCCTGCTGCATGTTTTACCTTTAATGTTTTTCACTGTAAAACATTTACCTTTGAAGCTTCTATCCTTCAAACATCTACCTTTTGAAACTGTCCACTGTAAAATGTTTATTTTTAAAACTGTTTGGCGTGAAACATTCACCCTTAATTCTGTCCACTGTAAAACATTCCCCCTTAATTCTGTCCAC